AGAGGAAGCAGAGCACCGTCCCGGCCAGAGCCGTGTAGAAAGCCCAGCCGGCAGAGCACAGGCCCAGACGGTACGGGGACGAGTCCGGCCCGCAGTACAGCTGCACCTTCTGAGAACCCCAACCTGCCGGGTACAGCACCAGCCCCACGATCAGGAACAGACCTGCACACACACACACACACACACACACACACACACACACACACACACACACACACACACACACACACACACACACACACACACACACACACAGAGACACACACCATTTATATCTGCATGAATTTTATTTCAGTACTATTAATAAATTTCACACACAAACACACACACACACACACGAACAAACAAACACAAACAAACACACACATACACACAAACTAACACTAACACAAAAAACACACAACCAAACATACACACACACACAAGCAAAGACATACACACATACATAAAACACACAAAGACAACAAACACACACAAAGACACAGACAACAAACAAGCACACAAGCACACACAGGCACACACACACACACACACACTAAGTCACAGACAAATAAACACACACAAAGAAACACACACACACACACACACACACACAAAAGTAATACTAAAGTACTGCAAAAGTCCTGAGATTAGGTTAGCGGTGTGTACCCTATGCTGTGATACTGCTGAGTGTGTGGTGTGTGGTGTGTTCTGACCTGCGATGGCCTGCAGGAGTCCGCAGACGTTGAAGATGCTCTTCTTCATGATGCTCTGGAAGCACATGGTGAAGATGGAGATGAAGGCCACGGCGCACAGCAGCAGAATCCCGGCCGCCAGGAAGATGGCGGTGGCCTGCCAGAACCCGCTGGCGATCTCTCCGAAGTGCACGGCGTACGGGCCGCACAGGACACCACGCCGATAGTGCGGCACGCGGATGCAGCGCCCGTAGATGCCCAGCGTGGGTCTGTAAGCCTCACCCGCCGCCGTGGCCCCGAGCGGAGAGAAACCGGCGTCCGGCGCCCGCGGGAATCCCACCAGCCAATCAGTGCTCAGGAAAGCGATGAGCTCACTGAACGCCGCCACGATGCTGAGCAGAGTCCACAGCATGGAGCGGCACGTCACGATCACATGACACATGATGCGAGAGGTACAGCAGCGCTCTCTCTCTCTCTCTCTCTCTCTCTCTCTTTCGTTTTGTGTTTACGTCCGTCCTGGTTCTGTCTCTCTCTTCCTCCTCCACGTCTGGATTCTACATCTTAGAGCGGAGGTTTGACCGTCATCTCACCAACAGGACTGGAGGAAGACAGAACACACACACACACACACACACACACACACATTAAAAACATCACATGTGTCAGCTTCAACACTATATGCGCTTGTCTAGGTCATGAGTTAAAAATAAACTCATACTGGAGTTAATAGAGTAACGCACGACAGAAAACACAAACACGGGGATTAACCCCCAGGGCTAGAAGACCGCGTATACACGTTTTAAGGCGTCTTCTCCTGATAACACTGAAATGAAGTTAAAGGGCACATAGTTTACCCTTATTTATGATTTAATATGAATATTCTGGTTGTTCTGAGTGTGCCGGTTTAGGTTCAGTTCAACACACAGTTCAGATGTTTTATTATGATGTGTTATATAATGGTGGCGAGGCAGTGGCGCAGTGGGTAGTGCTGTCACCTCACAGCAAGAAGGTCGCTGGGCCGCTGGTTCGAACCTCAGCTCAGTTGGTGTTTCTGTGTGGAGTTTGCATGTTCTCCTTTCGTTTGCGTGGGTTTCCTCCGGGTGCTCCGGTTTCCCCCACAGTCCAAACACATGCGGTACAGGTGAATTGGGTAGGCTAAATTGTCCGTAGTGTATGAGTGTGTGTGTGTGGATGTTTCCCAGAGATGGGTTGCAGCTGGAAGGATATCCACTGCGTAAAAACTTGCTGGATAAGTTGGCGGTTCATTCTGCTGTGGCGACCCCGGATTAATAAAGGGACTAAGCCGACAAGAAAATGAATGAATGAATGAATGAATGAATGTTATATAGTGTGATGTTGGGGCTGTGCACACAGCTCACTGTTAGGGGCGTGTTGCTTCACATGAAAGTTAGTTTCGACTTCCCGCCCAACGTAACAAGGGGGCGGAGCCAAAAGCTCCCCCACTCAGTGTTTGGCAACAGACTGGCAGACAGAGAGAAGCTACACGAGTGAGAGGAGCAGCATTCAGCTGTACATGTACGACTCAGACACAGACCAAGCAGAGAGTACACAATCATCAGTGTCTTTGTACAGTTTTCCAGTCAACTGTGTGCTAGTTTAAAGTGCCGAGCTTGTACACCGAGACTAATAACCACACACACTGAATTAACTTTGACTGAGGCACCAGAGCCACGAAACGGCACACTCAGACAGGCACATTCCCATGTTATTTAAAATGACACTATTCGGATGGTGCTCTGTGGCACTGCAGAAACATGAAGTGTCCCGAATCGTGGCTGGGCGCCGAGTTGAAGCGCATTGTGTGTACCCTGATAGCAACATATGTTTACCATTATAAAATGCATGGTGCTGCGTGGCGCCACGCTGAGTGTCGTTGAGCGGCGCTTCTGGTGTGTGACCTGCAGGCAAGTTTGTTATTTTGTTTGCAATGGAGGGACGCGCATGTAAGGCAACGCACTCGCACTTTCCAGCTGCACCCAGTTAAGATCACAGGGAGCTTCTGTGACTGCGAGAAATGCGAACGGCTGAAGTTTAAGACGCAATGAAAAGTACACGTTTGCAAACCTGCCTAAAGTTACAAACAATAATTCTGATGAGAGCGATCATGTGGTGAATGTTGATCTTGTGTTGAGCCCAATGAGCATCTTACATCTAAACAGAGCAAGGGTGTTCCTTTAGTGACATGGCTTTGACTCAC